GAGCCAAAGATGTTAGAATTGTGTCGATGTCCCAATATTTCTGGACCTGACTGTATATGTACACTGGATGCCTTCTTGCATTCCAAAAGTTGCAGCATTTTTCTGGAATAACAGGATTTTCTCTGAAGAACTAGGTCTTTAAATGCATGGTCTGAGCCACCATCTTTCGCGGCAGCTAAAAAAAATGTTTAAATTGCCAGCAAATTGGAATTTGTAGTATGACAGAAGAATACAATGATTGACTACATGGTGAGTTACCATATTAATGGTATTTAACTGATTTCAGTTAGATGCGTTGCAATTAAATAGTTTTTTTTTTTCTGATCCCCACTCATTTTTTAAAATCCCTCTCCTTTTGATACACCATTCAAAGATCCTGTCATTCTAAAAAGACAGACAGACAGACTATCTACCTGTTGGATTTATATGGCCACCCATCTCAAACACATGACTCTGGGCGGCTAACAATATTACAAATAATAAAATTATAAAACCACATGCAAAATATGACATTAAAACACATTTACCATCTAGGGGAAGACTTCAACCCTTCAAGCGATTGTGAGCAACTCCTAGGTTAGCTTCTGATTAGGTTCATATTGGGGTTGGAAAATCATGTTCTCTGGTTTCTGAGTTTTCTTTGCTGTGCACCACCAGAGTCTCACAACTGGGTCTGTACAGGTAGTCCTCACTTACTGATCGCAATTGGGACTGGCAACTCTGCCACTAAGCGACACGGTCATAAAGTGAAATGCCATGTGACCACACCCAACGTACGTCAATTCATCAATTCCAGCTGCAGTCATGAAGCAAATCACCTGTAGTTGTTAAGTACAACGTCACGTGATTGCGACCTGCGACTTCCTGCTGGCTTCTCCACTGACTTTGCTTGTTGAAAGCCAGCTGTGAAGGTCACAAATGGCAATCACGTGACTGCTTGACACTGCAATTGTTGTAAATGCATGCTAGTTGCCAAGCACCTAAACTGCGATCGTGTGGGGATGCTGTGAGGATCGGTCGTAAATCTCTTTTTTTGGGCCGTCATAACTTTAAACGGTCGCTGAATGAGTGGTCAGTATGCAAGGACTACCTGTATATAAAAATAGTGAAATAAATGACATTTCTTTATAGATATGTGTGTGCGTGCGCGTGCGTGTGTCTACATATATAAACTTTTGCATATAAATATATGAATATATATAAAAGAAAGACAACTGCATACACAGGCATACATATATGCACACTCAACACACACATACACACTACTATACAACAATTAGAATCCAGAATAAACATACATAAATGGCAGCTGAAACCTAAGTAATTAGCTATGAAGATCTGGCTAAAGAGGTCTCTACAACTTTCCTGAAGGCAAAGTGTAGGAAGCTAAGCACACTTCCAGGTCTTAAGAACCCCACAAATCTCTTAAGCCTCACTTCAGTCAGTTGTTGAGAACAAAACAAAGAAACAAGTTAATCACTTTGAACCCTTTACCTCAAACAGTGGGACTGGATTAGGGAAACACACCCATTTTCCAAGTGATCAAAAGGCTGGTTGAAGGAACGGAAGAAAGGAGATTTTGATGTTGATGTATTCATTACAAGAATGTATAAGCCACCATTCAGGGTAAATCCCTCGTGGCTTAGCTAGCAATGAGGCTCAACGTCTATCAAAGGAAGAGGGGCTGTTCTTACCCAACAAGGCCAGGCTCCCGTAATTTTCAACCATGACCTCCTTGTACAAAGCTCGTTGATTTGGATCCAGCAGAGCCCACTGCTCTCTCGTGAAATACACAGCCACATCATCAAAGGTCACCGGGCTCTGCAAAGAACACAAAGGGCTCCTTCAGTGGCTCCAAAATCACTGCAACTGGGAAACCAGCCTCTCCAGAAAAAAGTCTTGCATTGGCCTGGGGCGATGCTGCAACGTAAGCTTGTCAGTCACGTGCATCGGTGAAAATACAAGATCTCAGGCATCTTGTATTTTTAGCGATGCATGTGACCGACAAGCTTATGGATAGGCTCAATGTAAGCAAACGGGATGGGCTCCTGAATTCATTTATTCATTTGATTTATATCTCACTTTTGGTAAAGGAGCTCAAGGGGGCACACACACTGCTGTCTTCTCCTAAGTTCTTCTTCAAGTGCAACCCTGAGAAGTAAACTGGGTTGAGAGGAGGGACTGGACCAAAATCTCCCAGGGAGTTTTTGTGACTGAGGGGAGACTAGAACCTGGGTCTCCCCACTCCCAGTCTAGCACCTTCATTCCTTACCCTATCCTCGGTCTTGGACCAAGAGCCAGTCTCCGCAAAGGAGCTTCCATGGCTGAGAGGGGACTAGAACTTGGGTCTCTCCACTCCTGATCTAGCACCTTCACCATGATACCATTCTGGCTGTTGGACTGAGAAGAAAATGGCTGAGAAGAAGCTCTGAGAGTTTCTATGACTGAAGGGGGACAAGAACATCATTATCCTCAATGAATCAATGAACAAGTATAATGTTTTTGACTCATTTGTTTAATTGGGTTCTCTTTACCTAGTTTTAGGACTTGTGTGGAGAACAGGAACATCATTATCCTCAATGAATCAATGAACAAGTATAATGTTTTTGACTCATTTGTTTAATTGGGTTCTCTTTACCTAGTTTTAGGACTTGTGTGGAGAACAGGAACATCATTATCCTCAATGAATCAATGAACAAGTATAATGTTTTTGACTCATTTGTTTAATTGGGTTCTCTTTACCTAGTTTTAGGACTTGTGTGGAGAACAGATCACGTTTTAGGTCATATTTATGCAGAAATACTGAAAATTCAAAAGGTTTCACAAACTTTTAAGCACCACTGTAAACACCCATAACTGCTCAATATAAGGCAACAGCAAACTGTTTTGCTCTTGTTTTTTAAGGAAAGGGAATTTACTTTGGAATTTACTTTGCAGCTTTCCCAACCTGGCATGATCCAAACTTTAGGAACTTTGAGTCACATCATTTTCACCACCACTGTCACTGGAATAGGTTTTGTCCAGCTGATCAGTCCAGCTATAAAGAAAGGCATAGCAAGTAGTACATTCCCCAACCTTTACAATAGGTTGACAAGTACACTGGTTTCCGTGAAACCCAAGAACTAAACGTCTGCTGCTGTGACTGGAAGATGGAACTATATGGGCTCCACAGACTGCATTTCCACAACACGCTAAATCTGATTTGTGTTAACCTTGATTAGTTTCTGGATATGTTTAGTTCACTGTGTCGTCTGTCTCCAACCCATGTCATAATGTTGATGTTAATGTTTCAGTTTATCATGCAAACCCAGAAAAATGGGTTGAATAAACCATGCATAGAGTAAGCCTTGGTTATGTTAGGCATGGGTAGTAGCGTTGTGTGAACACTGGCATACAAAACGTAAAGTTGGGGGAGAACATGGAGATCACCTGTTCCAATGTTTTCCAACCTTGACATCTTCCAGATGGGTGAACTTCAACTGCCAGAATTCTCCTGCTAGCATGACCATTGCTGAGAGTCCTGGGAATTCAAGTTATACTTCTGGAAGTTGCCAAGACTGGAAAGCACTGATCTAGCCAACCCGCTTCTCAATGGAGAATTGATAAAGCAAGGGGGAAAGCAGTTTTCACAGAATATCTATCCAGCTTTTGCTAAAATACCCCTAACCATCTCTCAAAGCTACCATCATGCCCCATCCATATGTACAATCTTAATATCAGGAAGGTTCTCCCAATACTTCAACCACATCATCTTCTCAGCAAGGTTCGTCTTTCAGTTCCACCCTGCGGCGATTCAGAGCAAAAGTCTGTTCTGTCTGTCCTCCCATCATGTATCATATTCATGGTATTTTACAGTACATTTTCAATTTGTCATTGTTTGGTTTTGCTGACCAGGCAAAGGCGAGAACCATGCTTAGAAGTGTGTATTTCTACATCCAGCCGCAGGCGTCCACTTCTAACTTTGACAACACCAAAATGACAAAACCTGGGTTGTGATATCCCAAGGCATATTGTGTCACTTGTCCCCTCCTTCCTCAGGGGTGCCAATGCATCCAGCATGGGAAGGTGGGACAATGGAGGGACGCCCTTGAGTATGCAATGAGAGATACTTCTTTGAAATTCCCCCAACATTAAAAGCTGCCCCTGCAAGCAGAATGGTAAAAGTTCAGAAGCCAAATGGATGGGGGGCTTTCTCCATTAAGTGCCAGTTTTCTGGCTGAGGAACTGTCTGAAAGTGGCAATTCTCATTTACAGGGTGAAGTAGGGCAGCCCATTTCTACCCACCCCTAAAGTGCCAGCCTAAAACATTTGACCCATAAATCATGCATAAATGAGTCCCTTTGGCTCTTACAATGGCCCCGACTAATTATTCAAGGCTGCCAATGTATTAGGGTGCAAACTAAAGGAATGTTAACGTAAACGTGAGCAGGCATACCTATAGGTTCGAAGCACAAGCAGAAAACCTAAAGATTTCGGTAAGACAAAGCGGGCAGGTTATTGTCTCAAGAACTTACAGTCAAAATACTAAGAGGAAAGCAAGGGAAGAGAGAGGCGCAGATAACAAGGGAGTGCAAGGAGACATGGTGCATAATTTTTAAGAACTTAAGAGGGAGTGATGCGTTTAGCTCGATGCACCCAAAAGCCTTCAATGTTTGTTTGTGCACTCTACTGCAGCAATACTTTTGACGAAGTTGCAGATCTTTTATCTATGCATATAATGCTGCCATCCGTAGGCAAAAATACCTGTGAGGCGACTGAAGAAGCTGGCTCGCGTCCACCTAAACCAGTGTTGTCCAAACTTGGCCGCTTTAAGATGAGTGGACTTCAACTCCCAGAATTCCCCCACCCGCATGGCTGGGCGGGGGATTTTTGGGGGTGTAGAGCACTCATCTTAAAACGGGCAAGATTGGACAAAAATGGGTTATG